GTTCTCATTCTCTCTTTAAAATGGTGATGATTAAAATCAATACTTTGCACTCTCTCTATCTTTGGAATGGTGATTATTATACTTTATTTCTCTCTCTCTCTCTCTCTCTCTCTCTCTCTCTAGAATGGTGATGATGTTATTATTAGAAAATCTTTTTGGAATGATGTGATGATATTTTAATTCCAGATTTCAAGAGAATTTTGTGACAAAAAAAAAATGATAGTTTATAGGCAACTGCTGATAAAATTTTGGAAATGCGTTTCCCATATTTCTTTCAAACTTAGCCAAACAGTAGCATTGTATTTCCCAGGTTGCATCTAAATACTACCCAAATAGTACCAATCCATTTGCAAGTAATGTATTACGCAGTAATGTATTATGCCCATAATATATTTCACAAACAATATATTTCCAGGTATCCAAACGGCCCCTTACAAATAAAAATATGGAGTTAGTAAATACAATAAGACAAAGGAGAGTAAACATAGCTTGCCTACAGGAAGCTAAATGATAACAAGAAAAAGTTAAGGAAATAAATAGGTATAAATTTTGGTATATAGGAAAGGATAATAATAAAAATGACGTTGGCATAATAGTAGACAAAGATTTAAAAGATAACGTAATTAGTGCTTATGCACCACAAGTAGGACTAGAAACATAGAACTAAGAAACAATTCTGAGAGGACAAAACTAGTTCAAAACATACCAAATGGAGAGAGGACCTTTTTAGGAGGGGGTTTAAATGGTTATGTAGTGAAGGCTGGTATATGATATAAAGGGATACATGGGAGATATGGTTCTAGTGAATGAAATGAGATGAGTGAAGCTATTCTAAATTTTGTTTTGCCCAGCGACCTAGCAATAGCAAGCACTTACTTTAAAAAGTGAGATGAACATTTAATAACCTGTAGAAGTGGATCATATAAAAGCCAAATAGACTTCTTCCAAGTTCAGAAGGTAGATTGACTATTATGTAAAGACTGTAAGATTATCCCAAGAGAGAGTTTGATTACACATCATAAGTTCATAATTATGGACATCTACGTAAAGAGATCGAAGAGAAAGGGTGAAATTAATAGGTGCTTAAAAACTAGGTGGTGGAATTTAAAAAATGAAAAGATAGACTTATTCAAGGATAAAGTAGTTAAAGAAAGAAAATGAAACATTGAACATGAGGTCAATGTTATGTGGAATGAGACGGCTAACTGTATTAAGAAAGTGGCAAAAGAAGTTATAAGAGAAACTAAAGGGAAAAGAAATTCTAATAAGGAGTAAGCAAGGCTAAACATAAGGCTTGTGATAATCTATATATAAAACTGGGAACAAGAAAACTTGAAAAATATGTCTTCAAATTAGCAAAACTGAGAGAGAAAATGTGTAGGGATCTAGACCATATTAAATGCATTAAGAGTGAAGATCAAAGGTCTTGGTGAAGGATGAAGTAGTCAATGAAAGGTGGAGAGTTTATTTTCACAAATTATTAAATGATGAACACAATAAACACACAGCAGTAGAATAAACCGTTGGCATAAATGAGGGCGTAGGTCATAGATACATTTGTAGGATGAGGATATCGAAAATGAGAGAAGCCTTGAAGAGGATGCAGGTAGAAAAGGCACCGTTTTAAAAAAAAGATAGAAAAGGCTTTAGAACCATTACGTATCCCAATAGAGATTTGTAAGTGTATGGCAGATTTCAGCATGATTGGCAAACCAAGTTGTTCAACAAGGTGTTGAGAACGAAAAAAAAGGCATGGTGTGCATAAGGTTGCAACTTTAATCGATAAAAGTAAGGTGCACCTCTAAACTTTATCATAAAATGCAATTTTGGTGTCAAAAATTCTTAAAATGGTATGAGAATCTATTTTTATCCCTAATTATAGTACTCGGCTCGTCGCTACTTTGATTCAAGAGGTAACCATGAAAGCACTCTAGCCCAGTCTTGTCAAAGCACTCATTTAAGAAGCATGTAAAGAAAATGGCCCATAGAAAACTACAGAGCACGCTAGCTACAAAGAAAACGTAGTGCACTAACGCGCACGTAGGCGTGCCCGATCATGGAATAGGCTTTGACCTAGAAACTTCCCCTCCTGTCTATTTCGAGGAGGTGGGGTACGAACTTGGAAGAGGCACTTATCTAAAAAAAGAAAAGAGGTGGGCCACTGATTCTTCCTACAAAAGGTGGGCTACTTAGCCCATTATCTACCGAAAAAACGAGATCTATAAACGCATGAAAATCTAGAAATGGACAGTCCAAATAATATGTTGCAAAATGTACTATTTCTAAGACTTAAAATCTATTTTTTTCTCCATATCTATACATCTCAATATCGTGATGATCAATTGTTTTTCTAACATCAAAGAAACCTTTTTCAAAGAATTTTAGAGGTGCACCTTAATTCTACCTTACATAAACTTTTCCCAACAAAAAAGTCAGACGAATTGAGGAAAATAATTGTGGTACCTTGTTACAAGAGCGAGGGAGACATCCAAAATTGTGCAAAGTATCGACAGATCAAACTTATGAGCCACACCATGAAGCTATGGAAGAGAGTGATTGAGCAACGATTAAGGCATGAAATGAGTGTATCAGAAAATCAATTTGGTTTTATGCTAAGGAGGTCAACACTTAAAGCTATTTTTCTACTTAGGTAACTGATTGAGAAGTTTAGGGCAAAGCGAAAAGACCTGCACATAATCATAATTGATCCAAAGAAAGCTTATTATAGAATACCTTGGGATTTAGTTTGGTAGGTGACGACAAAAAAAGAGTCTCCAGATACTATATTGACTTAGTGAGAGATATTCACGAGTGAACACTAACTAGTGTGGGAACAACTAGTGGAAAGATGAGTGAATTTTTAATAACAATAGATCTATATTAGGGGTCAGCATTGAGTTCATACCTCTTGTTTTAGTTATAGACGATTTAACTAGGAACCTATAAAATGAGGTATTGTGGTGTATGTTGATCACGAATGACATAGTTTTGATTGATAAGAACCGAAGCGGCATCAATACAAAGTCAGAACTTTGGAAGGATGCTTTAGAATCTAAAGGTTTTTAAAATTAGCCAGACTAAGACAATATATAGAATGCAAGTTTCGTAATAATAGGAGTAGAGACGAGGAAGTAGTTAAGATTGACCGGCCAAGAAATACCAAAAAGAGAGTACTTTCGATATCTTGGGTCGATAATTCAGGAAAATAGAAAGATTGACAAAGAAGTCGCACATAATTAACGTTGGGTGGGCAAAGTGGAGATGTACAACTAGAGTCTTATGTGATCGCCGCCCAGCTTTGCTTTATGGTATGGAATGTTGGGCAATCAATAAATAACATACCTATTAGAATGAGTATAGTTGAGATGAAGATATTGAGATGGATGAGTGACAAGACAAGAAAGGATGAAATTCGAAATGAATACATTCGGGAGAACTTAAATATGGCTCTAATAGGTGCTAAGATGAGAGAAAGTAGACTTAGGTAAGCAGACAATTACGGCACTTGTTAGGAGGTGTGAGTTGGTTCAAGTGCATACCTTAAAAAGGGTAAGGGATAAGCCCAAAAGGACAAGGTTGGAAGTAGTAAGAAAAGATATAGGGACTTGCGGGCTCATTGAGGGTATGGCCCTTGATAGAGCAGAATGGTGGACCAAGATTCACGTAGCCGACGGCAAATAGTTGGGAGAAGGCTTTGATGATGATGTTGATGACATATATGAGTGTGTGTGCGTGCGTGCGTGTGTGTGTGTGTGTGTGTGTAGAATTTCACAGTTGTATGTCAATGGGATGACAGAACGATATATGCCAAGGGCCTTGATTTCATCATGGCCAAACAGATGGCCACAACTAGTAATTTGGGGTACTCATACATCAAGATAGGGCGCACCCAATAAAAATAAAATAATTCAAATGGAAATTTGACTAAATTACCCTTGAAACATTCAAGGGTATTATGGTCAACTTTTTGGTATAACGATCAATTTTTATTTGAAATTTTTATTTATAGTTTTATTAAGTGAACCCCACATGCCCAAATTTCATGTCGATAGGATTTGTAGAAAAAACAAAACAATAAAAATAAAATCAATTAGTGTCTGTCCAATTGGCAAAGGTTAAATATGGGTTGTGGGCTTATATTGTTAAACTATATTGCAATGGACAATGGGAAACTACAATATGTTGGTGCCATCACCATCAAATGACATAATGAACAGTTACGGAGAGAGTGAGACCTCCAAAAATATCATGTCCTCAACAGTGAATCTCTCTCATTCTCTATTGCCATATGTTATTCATAAGATGGGGAGGGCTACAAGAGGCTATGTTTCTTGTAGGCCATTGGATTACAATATACTTTCGATCATAGTTGCTGCAACCTTGTAAGAAAGGTCATGGACCTGCTCCAAAACCTCAATCCCACCATGCCGACTGGGGATCTTGGATGGAATGCAGGTCCCTATATTGTGATCCTTGTTCCCGGTTGTTTGAACTGCGGTTCTCAAGTGCAGGATGCATTGCATATGGGTTTTCTCAATTCGGCACTTATTCATATGCACTGATTCAGGTTTGTGCCCAATGGTACTGTGAACCCACGCATCATTCACGATCCCTTTAGACATACTATTGTGATTCCTTCCTCATGGAATCACACTTCCTTGTGACAAGGCTCGCGCTTGTTTGATATAGGATCGTACAGGACGACAATCCTAACAACAAGGAGCTTCCAACAATCCACGGTTCTTTGGCCCATAGCCAGCTCCCGCTCCCGGGAAAACACCCACACCTGACAACTATGCTTTCGATGCTCAGTCATTAGAATTAGTTATATTTTCTTTTTGACAAGTATCAAAGTCAAAATTTATTTCAGCAGATAAACACATAGGTCAGAAGGAATCAAAGTGCATTTATCCAGCAAGCCTTTTGTTTCCTAAAAGCAAATAATACTTGAATACTAGTTTAATTATTATGTAGTCATAATAGCAGGAAAGAAGAAGCACCTCTGAAATGGACGTGAATATCATACAATGATGAACAGTTGAGTGCATGCTTAGGCAACGTAAAATATACCGATGCGCATCACTTAAAAGGCGTGATGTTATGACCACGATCTTCTTCGCAGGATCCTCAAAATTTGACTTCCAGTTAACCACCTGGAGCATCCAAAAAATGGTTTCATGGTTAGTTCATTAGAAGTGTTTTAAGGTTCTAAATATTGATGATGCTATTTATAAAAGGGTAACATTCATATTTCACGATCCTAATAATTTTCAATAACAATGCTCAGGACGTAACGGAGCAATTTGAACTGATGTTACGCATTCGTTCATAATAGTTAATATCAAACAGTTTCTCCTATGTCCAGCAAAAATAAAACACAGTTGATATAACTGAACTTATTAGATAAATACACTGCTAAGCATCTATGCTCTTACTGACAGTATCTCAGCTATGGGATATTGCATGTAATATGTGTTCTCCACAAGCCATATACAGTAAAGCATTTCTTTTCTTTATCAATCTTACACTAGATATACTCATTGTCTACTTTGGGGTATTATTATTCCCTGTAAAGAATGATGTGTTTACAGAGGGATAAGCATGTTACCAGGAGTTAAGGCTATGTGCCAGATGGATGGTTATCTGCAATTTCTCAAAGTTACTTGACAAGCAAGTGTAAAAACCCAGGGATGACACAAAATCCATAGGCCATTGGGGTCATCACCTGAAGGATGGTGATGGAGAGAGAATGTGGGCCCCACAACAACAGGACAGGACCCTAATGTTAGGTCCCACACTCCTCTGCGCATCATTACGTAAGGAGGTGATGAGCCCTTGGTATATGTTTTTACATAGTTTTATTGAATTATAGTATACTTTCCTAAACCAGAAAACAAATACTCGAAGCAATGAGTCATGAGAGATGAATGCTTTCACTCAATCTTGACAAGAAATGTCCAAAAAAAGGATGAAGAATCTTAAGCACAACTTCCAACAGCTAATTGATGAAGTATAACTTGAATTTATATGTACTTACAGCATCAAGAGACGACACATTTTCTAAGCTGCAAATAGCACGCGCACCAAGTTCCAGTAACAAAGGGAATGCACCAACAAATTGGAATGCCTCAAAGGAACCAGCATCCAGATAAACAATTGCATCAGCCACCTGATCTGCTGTCTACAAGAAGTGCAACAAAGAATGTTGAGGACACGGTCAAATCAAATGTTCACCTCGATATTATTTTGCAACAAGTACCAAATGATACAATACCTTTCTTAGTATCCATCAAAGGTTCAGTGCACGGTTTTGGCAAAAATTAAAACCAAGTGTCTAGTAGATAAGTAGATAAGAGCAATGATGTTAAACCACACTAGACTGGTCATTCCCAACCTGAAACTGGGAAAATGTGCACTCGAATCCAGTCGAACCCCTCAAACCAGAATGTCCTATGAGCCAGTGATGAACCGGTTAATGTCTGGACCGGTCAGTCCAGGAGTGCGGTGCCAAACCGGCATGTCCCAATGGCGACTTAAAAAACCGAAAACTGACTGTTCTTCCTCATTTTTAACAATTTTTCACACTGCTTCGGTCCTTTTTTTGAAATAGATAAAGGGCATTTCAATAAATAAATAAAATATATATTTTGGTGGGATTTAAAGTTTTAAAACATCTTTTCTAGAGAGCGATTAAGTATTTGGCAACTCTCTCTCTCTCTCT